CAAATGATTCTATGATTCTATGATTTTCACTATGGTTGGGCTTGTAGACCCTTACTCAACCTGTTAATTTAGTAGTATGACATTCCAGGAAATATCCTAAAAATACAGAAAAGGACATTCTGTTCATGCTTTTGACTGAATTGTAACATAACTTTTGCAATAAATCAAAAAAGCAGAAAGTTAGAAAAGTAGAAAAGAAGAGCAGAATTATTAGTAGGGGAAAAAAAAAAAGAAATAAGAAAAAAAAAGAAAAAAAAAAGAAAAAAGAGAACTAACAGTGTCAGGAAGAAGTATAGAGCATGGAAGAGTGCTAGACATTCATAGCTGAAGGATACCTTCTCCGGTGACACATGCAGAAGTCCTTATGAGGACCATGAATCCCTGTGCTCCACAGCAAATATAATTAGTAATACAGTTTGGGAACACTTTGGCCCGCCTTCTGAGGATAACTGTGTTTGTCTGCTGTATACTCTAGCCTACTAGTGTATTAAAGCAGTTGGATCAACCAGACATCAGAAGCATCTCCTGAATGGAATTGTTTAATCCTCATCACTTGTGTTATGCTACAGCTGCGCAGTTATGAACTGACAAGTGGTATTAGGACTGTATCAGTGGATGCTGGGTGAGGAGCAGTATCTTTACGTGCTTGCCTTGTCGCTGTGCTTTTTTTCCTGGTCATCACTTTTGGCCAATTTGTCTATCACTTGTGTTGCTTAAAACTGAGTAATCATTTGGCAGTTGTGGATCTGGAACAATAGACATGGATTGCTCCTGGAGCTCATCACCACACCTGTTTCCTTAGTATGAAGATATTTTTACATATGTCTAAAAGAGAATGAAAACAGGGAAATGTATTAGGTCTAATCCAACACATTTAAATTGTCATGTGATAGTCCTCAAAAACAACAAAAAAAGTTCCAACCTTGCAGAAAGTCCTCTAGCTTCTTCTCATAATCATTTTGGTCTGACAAACCAGTCCTCCTGCCAATGGTTGTTACCTCGCCGTAACTGGATGGCGGGCTTTTCACAGACATAGTAAAGATCACCTTTACATGGTTGGCTGTATATGGAAGTGTAATAAAAATATCCACAGGATTGGAAGGAGCTTACATGATTTACCCTAAGAAAGAAAAATCTTTATTGTTACATCTCACCTCATTCAAATGGTGCATTCTTGCTCCTTCCAAAAAGAGCTGTCTTTGCAAGAATTACTTATGTGGCTTTCACAAAGAATATACAACCCTAACAAAGAAATAAAGCATTTAGTGACATTGCACACCAACTTCTAGGAGGCTGACCCTGTCCTAAACATGCCAACACGCACCCCCAGCAGACTCTAAGGGTGGATCCTAAACCATTTCTTGTACCTGACAGTAAGAAATACTGACTCCTGGGTACCGACTGGAAGGTGTCAGTGGCTGTTTCAACAGGAATGTTAAGAGGAGACTGGCCAATAGTGAAGGGGAAAATTGGCAAAGCAGGTTTGAAAGCAAGAAGAAAATATATTGTATTTCTGAAATAACAGGTTAAACCAAAGTTAAATGATTCTAGAGAATAAATAATGTCTTTTATAAAAATAAAAAAGTATAAAATCAAAAGCATGAAATGAAACACCTTTCCATTGGAGTTTCCTTGTGTCCTTACTGAAACAAGATGTCAAATACAAGAGAAACTTACGATATTTATGGTCAATCTGAAACTAAATTGTGGAAATAAACTTTCCAGGTACTTTTTTTGCCCAGTATTAGTGCCTAGATCACCCTCCAAACAGTTCCAGGTGAGGCCAACAAAAATCTGAAATGGAAAAGTGAGACCCAGAATACAGAGAAAGCTGCATAAAAGTTGGCTGTTCAATGTGCCCTCTGTGTCAGAGAAACTGAGAGTTGCGTGTGGATGAGGATCAACTTATGTACTGCGGGAAAGCTGCCCACTTACCAAGACTTTTGTTCTTCTGTAAGAGCTGTGTTGTCTGTCCAATACAAGCCTTTCTGTTCAGCTCTGAATGTTAATCCAAGCCAGTATGTTTTCACAGGAAATTTTTTTACCAATTCCTATGCAGAGTAAGGACAATTCAAAGCAAATATTCAGAAAGATATTAAAAAGAAATATTTAGGCTCAGAAGTTGAAAGCATTGATGGAAATTGCTTAAAGAACATAAACATCACAAATTGTTAACCTGTCAGGACAAGTTCTGCACTTAAAGGAAAAGCCTAGTATCCAAGGAGAAATAACAGCAGAGCTGTTTTTAATCAGAGACAAGATACATGTCTAGCTCTGAAGAGCAACTTCACCCTCATCAACCTGACTTAAACCCTCTGGATGAAACACTGGCTCATTCTCCCCCCTTTAGTCATGAATCATTAATCCCCCTTTACTCTGTCCTTAGCATTTGTCAACAGCAGAAAGGAAGCCTCTCTAGGCAGCTGTTGGGTTTGATTTGTTGCACCTTCACACTTGGCTCTAGCATCATTAACTTATTCCCAAAAGCTGGACCATGACAAGTAGAGGAGGTCCTAAAGTTAAGCATTTAGGAATAGTCCGTTCTTAAAAAAGACTTTGAGCAGAACAGGTACAGCAAAGAATGTAAACTTGAATAATGCTGCCTTTCTCACTGCTGCTTGAGGGAAATCTCTAAAGATTTGAATCCAATTTTTCTGTTGTTCTCTTCCTTCCTTCACTTACCATTGTCACTGCCGGTGCACTTCTCCATTTTCTCTTTTTCCTCATACCTCTCAATGCCATGATTAAGACAGCAAGAACAGATTACACCTCACAATCTTTGCTGTCACCAATTTGGGAGGGTAAGAGTAAAGCTGTTGCCCTTTACTTCTGGAAGAAACCTTATGGCCTGCAGCTCAGTGAGAGGGGAATAGGCATTTGTCGAGCGCTGGAGAGCAGGCAGGCCCAGCCCTGACTGGTAGCTCTTGGGGTAGCTTTTCTGCCTTCAGTCTTCCACTACATTTGCTGGCATCCAGAGGCAAAAGCATTATTTCACTCTACACCTGGCATTTTCTCTTCCCATCTCAGTTTGTTTTCATTTACTAAAAGATTAGCCAGATTTCAGCAACTTGTTACCAAGTATTTTAATTTGGATTGAAAAGATGAGATCAGCTTTTCTGGAAAGTTGGGGAGGACTATGGTTTGCATATGGGGAGACCAGATTAAAAGAGGTTTTCACACTAATATCTTACCAAATCCTTGTACAAATCCTTGTATGGATCTGTAATACTTGTTAATTTAGTGAAATCGTTGCCCAAAACAAAACAACCATGAACCTGCTTTCACCAGTCATCCCAGTAAGTAGCCAGCCATGGCAAGCTGAGACAAGACCAGCTGTCTCTGACCACCAGCTGCTCGACAGGCTGCGCCTTGTGTGGCGATGACCGGTCCTATGCCTTAGCACTGCCTGGGACAACCTAACCACTGTAGAAATCTCCTGCTCACAGTGCCATTTAAGAAAATTATGTGTGAGGTGAGCTGATCGGGTGCATGAACTTCCTCCATGCTAAACAGAATGAGAAATCAGTCCATACCAGCTTTGCTGCTTCTTTTATCAGAAGAAGAGTAGAGTTTTGTGAGGAACAAAACTGGTGACTCTGTTCCCATGACATCTGTTCCTCGGAGTAGTAGTAACACATATCGCCACCTTCCCACTTCCAGCTTGCAGGGCAGAGTACACAGTTCTGGCCTGGAAAAGGAAAACCATCACCCCATTTCTGTTCCCAGGCTGTCCCTCACAGAACATGGTTGTTGGCCTGTGATGACAAGATCTGTAGGGACTGAGGATGTTTGAGATGGTCCTCATTCAGTCAAAATCCCACTGTGGTCCCAGAAGGTTCAGGTAATGACAGAGATGAAAACTGAATCATCTCCCTATCTCTCCCATACCTTTAGCACTGGGAGTAGGTTCAGGTGTTGCAAATGGGATTTATTTTACCTAATTTTAGGAGTCTACAAAGGTGACATGAGTTAACCCATCTGGATTCCCATTTTACTCAATGGATGGAAGTCAGTGTGTCTCACACGTGCTTTTTCTGTCATTTCAGGTGTTTTTCTTGGAGGAAACAGACTGTATCCTTGCACTACCAATTTCTCTTCATCGACTAAAAGGGAGACCTAGATAGTTAGCTTATCTATGGAACAATATCCAGACAAATTAAATCCCCTTTCCTGATAGTAACAGCAGGATCCCTTTGCCTGATGCCCCTAATCCTCAGAATATAATTTCTGAAGAGAATTATCTCTCTGACTGGCTCATTGTCAGATGCCACTTAAGTAACCAAGCTGTGGCAAACTGAATTCATAAACAGCCCTGTACTGTACACAGTCAGGAGACAGGGAGTGAATTCCCAGGTTGGTTTAGCTATGCTTCACCGCACATCACTTCTGACTTTAGGAGATTCCTGTCTTACCTGGAGTCAGTTCTAGCACACTGTTCTGTATGTTGACTGCTGTTCACATAGAGTGCAGTAAGGTGTTCAATTCTCAGGCACCACTGTAAAATTGTCTGTTAGATGCAGATGAGCATGTTGTAGAGATCCCTGAACTAGTGCTGGCAGGAACTGGCATGACCAGAAGTCCTTTCTTATGGAGACTAAATCCTGAAACCCTAGTACTCAGCCAGGTTCCAGACCAGTGTACGTGTGGCCAGGCTGGGCGCCTCTCTCCAGGCACTGCATGAGGCAAAAATACTCATTGCCTAGTTTCCAGGTGGTCACATCTGAGAAGACACAAGCTTATCTGAGGACCTGAGTAGACACAGAAGACACATCTCATTTCATTCCCTACCATTTTGAAAGATAAGCCTTCATCAATACTTGTTGATTTACCATTATTTTTAAGGTCTTTTTCCCCTTCCAAACACAACTGATTTCCTATTGCTCGCAGCATATTTGAGAAATTTGCATGCAGCTCATTCTTCGTCATGTTGAGATCTCTGAGTTGTGTCTTGTAGTCCTTGGCAATCTGGAAAACTGAAATTCACAATAAGACATTTTCCAGTGCTGTCCTTCAGAAAGGGTGGGATGCAGACAGGGAATGTCTTAGCAGATCATTAGGGATAAATAAACCATTTGGGATAAATGTTATTCCTCCCTGAACACTTGCATGTAAGGACTGCTGAGATGGAGAACGTTTGCATAATGCATTTCTTATTATTTCACTGGGAGTGAACAACAAAATTAAAGTGTCACTTTTTATCATATATTTCCGTTGTGTATCATTCTCTTGTATTAGTTTCCAAGCTGTGCTTTTTTGCTAAAAATGTGAACTTCAGCTCTGGATCACAGTGGAATTGTTGTGGATGGGAGGTAATGGGCACAATCTGTTTGCTGTGACACAAAGCTTTTCCCTTCCCTTCAGATCCAGCATTATCAAAGAGGAATTCACTCCATCATTAGTCAGCAGGATTGTGGATACAGTTTTTAAGAGGCAACACAATGGCAGCCAGAGCAAGCAGCGAGTCTCCTACTCCACCCCTTTCCAGCTCCCTTCCAAATTGCTCCAGCCTCATCTCATCAAGAAGAGGACAAAGATGCTGCGGCAAGGGAAAATAACCTGGTTTGCCTGGTTGCCTGTTCTCAGCTGAACCAGAAATTGCACCTGAAGGAGATGTCAGTCTGATGTTATTCAGTAGCTTGAGTCCCTCAGCAAACAGAAATATATTAATACTTACATAAAACTGCCAGGGTCACCAACGCCATCAGCAATGCCAGGCACAGTGTGAACAAAATCAGGACTACTGGCCAGCAAGAGCGGGACAAGGTGGGAGGCCCTGGGAGAAATACAGTCATGAAATGGAAGTGTGATACTAAGGGAATGGTGAACACATTAGCCTCATTAAATTGCAGCCATCTTTCCGGTGCATTGGTAAATAAATAGTTGCTTTTACTTGAGGGTTGGGTATTCCTGCTGCAGAGTCTCTGCACACAGCAAAGGATGTCCAAACAAAGCAAGAGAGTGAGAGATCACAACAGCTCAGTGGAGAATGTGGACAGCCTTGGTCCTTTCAAAGGCCATAGACTGTGACAAGAAAGATACTGATAAAGCAAGATATTGCAAAATCATTTTTCAGGTCGTTGATGAAGATATCAAACAGTATGGGCTCAGTATGAACCCCTGAGGGACCCCTGAGGGACTCTATCACCAAACAGATGTTGAGCCATTACTTATTCCCCTTTCAGCCTGGTAGTCCAGACAGTTTTCAATCCACCTAACAGTCCACTATCCAGCCTATAAATTCCTCAGCTTTAAAATGACAATACTGTAAAAGACACTGACAAAAGCCTTGCTAAACATGTATTACATCTGCCACTCTTCCTGCACCTGCATTTCATCACAGAATGCAACCTCAGTCTAAGGAAGTGCTCTAACTGCTTGGTATTGCATAAGACAGAAACACCCAGGCCCTTCACGAAGAGAAAGAACATCTCCCTTCTGCATTATTTTCCAAAATTTGATCTCACAGCCGTACGACAGATACACTCAGAGATAAAGCCTGCACAGGAGAATCATATACATTATGGAGCCTAACAAAACTTAAGGATGTATTGACTGCTGAGACATATGGATATTTTTAAGGTCAAAGTTCTTCCTTACATGCTCTGAAGCTGGATATTAGGTGCCTGGAGAACTTCAGTAACAGAAATTTGACTCCCTAAGACAGGCTGCTAAATAGACTCATGAATTGGAGCTAAAGGGCAAAAATAAATTGTTCCTACTCCTACAAAGTCATAGCCCCAAGCTAAAGACTGAAAGCATTATAGTTCATGCTTCCTGGAGCTTTTAGCTGAGAAGAGACAAAGATTTTGTAGTTTGAAAGTGAGATGTCATAAACAAATACAAAATATTTTCTGGGCAGCAATATAAATCAAGACCAAGCAATAGTTTTAGTTTTGACTGTTGTAATTAAATTATTGCCTCGAGACTTTCTTTAGGTAGTGGTTCTCTGTACTCTATTTTGTAACCTCACCCTGCTTCTGCCGCATCTACCACAGCTGAAGGGGCCTTGGGCTGCGTTCTCTTTCCTGTACAGTATTCCTGTTGTCCTAGAATGGATATATTTATTCTTCGTGGTTGTTTCAATTTGATGTTTGTGAAATAATGCACAGGCTGTGCTACGCCCTCTCAGAACGAAGCTTTTGCATCACAAAATATGCGTTGTCTACCCTTGGACATAGAAGCAGGGTATCTGGAGTCATATGAAGATACTGATGTCATTGGCCATTAAAGGAAAAGAAATCCAGAGATTAACACAAAGACAGTTCAGATTTTAATGGTTTTTTTTTAGCCTCAGAATTATCTTTGGCAAGGCTCAAAACCATAACTTAACATAGCAATATTCAAAAAATGTAACATATGTTCAAAAAGTATAACATATGTTCAAAAAACTTATGTTCAAAAAACATATGTTCAAAAACCGTAACAGCATTTGAAACCACTTCTTTGATACAGAATTCCTCAGAGAATGCCTTCTGAATCACAAGCAAGTTGTCCTCATGTTTGTAAACCTCTGCTCCAGAGCCTGACCCCACAAACAGCTAGCACTCTCTATGTTCTCTGTTCCCATGAGTTGCACCACTCAAATCTAGAGCTCATCTTCATAACTATGCAAAATTAATTTCAAATATAATATTTCAAATGCGTTCAACCCTTTAACAGATATAGTCATTTCAAAGACCATTAATAGACCATCCTAGCCATTAATTCAGGACAGAACTTGAGAAGTGAAATAAAGTGAGTCAGTTAAAGCTAATTCAGTTCTAAGCTTGAATGCAAATGCAAGGAGAAATCAAACGGAACTGATCCATTTTAAAAATTAGTTCAAGTTAACTTTTTTGAGATTTAGACAATTAGGACTATATGTGGAGCCTAGTATAACACTCAGTAATATACTTTTCTGTGAAATAATGAGATCATTATTTCAAGTATACCTTCCAAACTCTAAATAAAGTTCAGGCAGAAATGACATTAACAAAAACCAGGATACATTTATAACTAGTACAACTTTTCTGATAGTAACAAAGCTAACAAAGGCCCTTTGGGCATATAATAAAAATATTTCCCGTCCCCTCTACTTTAGCAAGAATAAATCATAAAAGCTTCATAGATACTACACCTTTTTCCTTAGTATCTTTAGACTCTGCAATATTATCCAGTTCATGGCTGTTTCCAAATGTCAGATTAGCATATGTTATTTCTTCTGTCATAGCTGGTAAAAAGAAAAGTGTCAGAATAAAAAGGCAGAAAAAGATCTAGCATTTGCAGCTAGTAAACTAGGAAGAAAATCTACCCCTTTGCAGGGTTTGCTCATATTGGCAGTCACAAATGAAGCTGCAGAGACATCGAGATACATCTGAGCTTCCTCAATCACAGTATTGTCAAGAAAATGTTCCTCTTTCACTCATTGCTATATTCTCTTTCTTCCTCTTTACCTCACTTCTACCCTCCCTGACTGTTACATATTTCTTTCTGCCATTATTAAAGAAAAATGCAGCCTCTTCTGTAGAACTCTTCCCTTTTCATTAGAATTCTTCTTCTTTCGGATAAACAACATTTAACTCCTCATTATGTCAGGTTCAGGCTTGAAGCACAGAATCGAACAAAATGTTTACAGCTTCGAGGTTGTCTTTTAGTTTGGGCAGCTGTGTTTAGCAGTAGATTTGTGATCACACTTTATTTTCTGTTTCCTACCGGAATGTGCTGAAAGCAAACCAGAAAGTGGACTTGCATCTTAAAGCTGGCAAATTGTGCTGTCATCCAAAAGAAGTCAGCACTTGTGCTCGAGGTTGACACCTTAGCTAGGATATGTCAGGGTGTTGGCTCTTTCCTTACATGCCACCTTCCCAAAGCGATTGTTTGGCCTGGGGGCTCTAAGTCATCAAAACAGAAAACCTCTTGACAAAGCCTACATATTTTATTCTTTCCTTACATGCCACCTTCCCAAAGCGATTGTTTGGCCTGGGGGCTCTAAGTCATCAAAACAGAAGAACCTCTTGACAAAGCCTACATCTCAGAAGATATTTTATTCCACTCAGTTTTCTGGCATTAATGTTTTATTTCCATTTCTGGAATAGTTTTCTTCATTCTTCATTTCTTCTCCAGATCTATAGTATGAGGAAAAACATACACTAACACTCAGATTTTGAGACTGCACTGTAAAGTGAGTCTTCAAGAAAATGCATTTCATTTATCTCCCTTGTGGAGACGGACACAGCTGTAGAAACTACCTTTCTCTGAGCCGAACAAACAAACCTACAGAGGAAAAGAAATGACAGGGAGACCTGGTTAGTCAAGGAAGGAGTACATGTTTCATTGCATGAGAAACTGGTCACCTGCTGTACTGCTGTGTGCGTCCCCTGAGTCAATCTGTCACTGCATTTCTCCAGAGAACAGCAATTCTCTGTTATCCTGGTAGGGCAGTGCTTTGCTGTAATTGCTACTATGCAAAGAATTGTCTAGGGCAAATTTTGTGATGTAACAAGTTTTGTAAATGGCATAACTGCAACCTTGAGACAGGATCTTCTAGAGCAAGAGCAAAATATTCAGTTGATGCTGAAATATCAGTGATTCTACCTGGAGTAGAAAGGCAGACACACACATTCCTTATTGAAAACCGAAGCAGGAGAATAGATTATCCGAGGAGTTTTACACCCCTCTTCATGATGTTTTTTTCCACAGTTGTGAAAACTTAAATGTGCATGATGGAAGTAGGATGTGTGGAGTTTCCCGTACGATTTTTGCAACTTACCAAAAATGATAAATGGAACAGAAATAGATTACGCACTCACATTATCACCCGAGTGATTAGCATGAGGCTTACATACACTATTCTACCCCGTGTTAGGAGTGTAAAGTGTTCTAAAAATGAACAGGAGTATGAAATAATCCTCCTTTGTACTTCTGGACCTGCAAAACTGAGACTTAGACTTTCGTTTTTCACTTTACTGAGAAAACTAATCAAACATTATTGTTTACATCAATGCTAAAATCAACATGACTAGTCTAAGTTAACAAAAGAAATTTAGATCGTTAAAATACTGGATCAGCTATGTAGATGGAACATTAAAAAAAATACATTTAATACAAAATATGAAAAAAACAATCAAAGTTTCCAGAAACTAAACTCTACTAAAAATCAGCCTGACCTGTTTTTTGGTTGGTTTGTTTGTTTGTTTGGGGTTTTTAAAATTTGTTTTATTTTGGGGGTTTTTGTTTTGTTTTCTGAACCCCCCTCCCAAATGTGCTTGTTTAGGGAAGTGTCATTGGTAAAATATGTTTATTCGTAAATACCTAAAAGAGCTAGGGAAGTGAAATAAATGTATCAGACCTGCTGGAATATACTCAGGCTAGCAAGCTAGAGTGAATATTAACTAGCTAACTGTGCATAAGTACTTCTCCTAAAACTCAACAGAACAGAAAAATTCAATAGCCCAAAATAGAAGGCCATGAGCTTGGAAGACTAGTAGCTAAAGGGTCTGCTTGGAACAGTAAGTTCATCTGCTGGAAATGACTGTGAAAGCTGGTCACAGGATGTATATGGACCATCTGCATCCTGTAAGCATGATAAACTTTGAGAAATGTGTTCCTAACAGAAACAGAGAAGAGCTGGTGCTCAGGCTGTTCTTCATCTGGAATCCCCTTATAGTTAAAACATCTCTGGTCAGAAAAGACAAACCAAAAATAAAGTGCAGAAAAAAGGCTGTGCTGATGACGGGAATGTGAGGCCTTTTACAGGAGGAAGACTGAAAACCTTGTCTCATTTACTGTGGCAGAATGCCATCTGGAAAGGGAAATGGTTGGTCTCTTATAGATAACAAAGGGTTAAACATCAGTGGGAAATGAGTCATTTAGATCTGTGTGATCTGACATCTTCTGCAAAGGCAGTTACCGCAGCTGGAGGAGCAGAAGAGGATGCCCTCAGCTCTTCTGCTTCTCAGTCTTCACGAGAGCACCACAATGTGACATGAACCGTTTATTAGAGTAAAGAGAGCGCTATTTGCTCCCCTTGTGCGGTTCACATACTTGTTTTTAGCTATCCAATCTAAGCAGCAGCAGTGAGACCAAGTGCAACAGGACACTCAATAGCAAAGGGTGTATTGACACACTGGTGGCTTCTAGGCAGATGTTCAGAAGGTCCCTCAGGGGCCCTGAGTTTCATCAGATGTGTGCACAACCCTGTAGCCTTTGCTGGAAACAATAGCCACTGCTCAGCAGCGATCTGTGTTACTCTGAGTGTTGGAAGTGCTTGGTGGCGTGTACTGGTGCTATAGATTTGGCAGGTTGTCGGTATTCTGGGCTGACTGGGTCTTGCAGCTCCAGTAGAACTCCTGGGTTCAAGAGTTTACCAGTCCTTGGGAGGTTTTTGCATAGTATCTCTCAGCACATACTCTCCTTCTCTTTGTCATGCTGTTTTCTGTTAGTTCTTTCTCCATCAACAACCACCAGTACCTGTGGGATCCATTCATACAAACTCCCACAAAAGGTCACTTACAGCCATCCATTGAATTTGTGTCTCTTGCTTTATTCTTCACCACTCGTTAAATTAAAAATTGTATTATGCAAGAATAGTAGCATGCTTAGTAAACCCATAAGAGAATTTTCCTTCCCTGAACCATGTGAATCGGAGACACACACAGCAGAGGGTGTGTCAATGCCAGTGACACAATAAAAGTATGAGCTGCCTCCTATGCTTGAGTAAGGAAGTCTACAGCTTCCCATTGGTTCCTATCCACCCAGTCAAAAGGGACATTTATTCCCTTATTTATAGACAGACTCAATCACAAAAGAAGTCTCCAGTGCCTAAGAGTTCCTTACACCTGTTTTACAAGGCTGGGACAGAAAGTAAGCAAAGAAAGCAATTCACAGGTAGGTAAGAATGCCAGGTAGAGAGAACTGAACTACTCTCTAAAAAGACAAATGTTTAAGCAAATCACTCAAACCAGAAAAGAAAGTCAGGAAAGACAAAAAACCACAAAGAAACATCAATACAAGCTAAAGAAAGTACAATTACAGAGTACTATCTTGCAAAATGCCCGAGAAGGAGATAGGACATGAAACTGCCTTTTGCAGGCTGTCTGGAAGAGAAAGAAGGGAAGACCAAAATGAGCTGCTCCTCCAGGGCTAGGCTAGCCTTCTCTGTGAGTCACAAAGGCAGACTGCTTTGCCAAGGGACACAGGCCGTGTCTTGTGGGTTTTAGGCAGCAAAGGGAGATGGAGGTCAGGAGACAGCAACTGCCTCCTGCCCAGTGGGAGAGAGCGCTCCGTCATTCGAGAGTTTCGTTTAAATAGCCACACAAGGCACTGCCCCAGTGGGGAAGAGCCTGCAGAGGGATTGCTCAGGGTCATTGGCTGCGTTTCGGTATTTTACCAGTGGCTGAGCTAGCAGGGCCTTCTCATAGCCATGCCTTCCTTGCCCAAAGGAGAACGTTCCCATGCAGAAGCCCAAGCATGGCCACAGAGGGAGAGAGAGACAGAGCGTGTGGGGCAAAAAGGGGGGATGTGCAGGATAAAGGTGCCACCTGACAGTGACCACAGAGGAGCAGGTCCTCCCTCAGCCCTTTGCCTATGTGACAGGATTGTCCCAAGCGTGGGCTCTCTGCCACATCCATCGTTCTGTCCGGGGAGGACTGGGAGGTGGTCCTGATGATCCAGGGGAGCCCTTGGTCCAAGGCCAAGGCATTTCTCCTTCTCAGCATTGCCCCATTCTCTGTGTCCTCCTCTCTTTCTGACTAGGGGGCTGCCAGGGTGGGGCTGGCCACTTGCCCAAGGGGTCTGTAATTGGGCCACTGGGGTTAGGATTCCTGTGGGAGTTTCTGCTCAGAGGAACTCCCAGTTATGGGTACGATCTCTTCGTGCCATCTCAGTCGTGGCAGAGGGAAAAAAGGCTGCATGGACCCCAGTGCTGGCCATGCTCCAAAGATCGAGCAGGCTCAGCATTGTAGTAGCCAGGCCATGGGGCCTTCTGTGCTGTGTGTTGGACTAGTGTCTCCTGGCTGGATCACGGCACACAGCTGGACATGGGGATAAAGCTCTGCGAAGGGAGGCTGTAGCACAGTCCTTGCCGAGAAGGAGGGCAGCAACCTGCCTGGAGGGCAACTGGCCCTGACGGGCAGCACCTGCCTCCAGCTGAGGTTGGCACTTGGTCTGAAAGCAGCTGAGAGGGCAAGAAGGGATCTGCCCCGCAAAGGCTGGGCACAGGCTGTGAGGG